GTGATGCAACCCAGTGACAATTAAAACAAATCAAAAAAAATGTAGCTTTTTGCAGGGCTACTTAGCCTTTTGTTTGTTGTTTGAAACCCAATTAATAATTACGCAGTGTGTGATGGCAGATACTGTTCTCCAGTCTCAGGAACCTCTTTCAGATGGGGAGTAGGTCATTTGCATTTCTAATCCCAGCCCACCTAATCCCATCTAGTCTGACACCCTTGATTGATACATCTTTCCTTTGTTAAGTATACTTGCAATTGCATCTCTTATGTGTTTGTCAGTTTGATTCAATACATGAATAACTCTGCTCCTGATTGTCTCCTGGTAACATTTTTAGACCAAAGGAAGTAGTAAATCGTTAGCTGTCTGCTCCTTCCTGCATGGCTGTCTCTGCCTACAGCTTTGCTGTTTCTTTGTGGATTTTCTCAGTGTAAAGTTTGGGACTGAAGGTGAAAACCTGCTGAAATTTTACAGTCCTAGTTAAACTAGAAGCAAGTACGTTACTCAAAATGTGGAAAAACTCTTAAAAACTTAACATGCCCCTCTAAAAGGTATAAATACTGAAAATATGTCTTTGTAAAATGAATTCCATGTATACTTGCAAATGCTGCTGCGCAAGAGGAGTTCGCCTGTGTGCTCTGGAAAAGGTGCCTTGAAAAAGTCTGAGCAGAAGTTCTCTTTGAAAGGTTGTTTATTCTCATGTCATTTCTGTGTCTGAACTTGTGTGCTGCATGTTAGTAGCAGATGGCATTTGTAGCATCATTCACAGTTTTCACAGATCTGAACAGGCAGAACGTACAAAAAAAGGGTAATATTTGGATTTTTTTTTCTTTCCCCTAAATTCCCCCTAGTTCCCCCTAATGTATGTATGGGGATTGGTGGGAGAGCTCTATGAGAGAATTTGCATCTGTAGGTGCTCTTTTAGCTAGTTGTAGAAGATAAAATGTCAGGTTGGAGCTGGTTCTATCTGCTTTCTGGTAAATACTGTTTTTTCATGGAAGTTCAGAAATACTTCACTGATGTATCTTGAGCTGAGATCAATGGCGGTCAAATGCTCTTTCAACTGGAGACTAGTGGATTGTATATGTGGAAGAAGTAATGTGGTTTTAATGACTGTTTAGACATTAAGTTGTCTGTGTGTTACAGTTTTTTCTGAATCAGCAGCTAATAACACTGAGTACTGGGACCTGAACTTGCAGAGGCTGATAAGTGAAGGATTAAGGCTGGTGCTCACAGCCCAGGGTTAAGGCAGAAGAGCATGACAGTGCAGGCATTTATGCACTGGCTGTGATTACTCTGAAGATTTTCCCATACACTCAAGCCCAGAGAGGCCCTCCTTCCTAGCAGAGCTTTTAAAAGTGGAGTGAAGAAGACTGAGACCTTCACTCTTTGTTTTGCTTCATGGAATTAATTTCTTTGGCCTTCTCAACATGATTTCTCCCCCTCCAACACTCACTGGTACTGTTGAATCACTTTATTGCTCACTTTTTGCATTGTCTAATTTGTGTTCCTTTGCGTTTACCTGTGCCTGTCTTTCCTGGCTGCTAACAGCCAGGTGCTGTTTGCATCTCTCCACACTCTCCCAGATCTGCCTTTCAGTATTTGACTCCTCCAGGATCTTTTTTGGCCCTTCTGCTCTGGTCTCCAGGCATTTGCATGTCATTTTTAGAACCTTTTCCCTTGGGATGGGAAGAAGATTGTGACGGTAACCTGGAGGTCAGTGGAGCAGCAGTGTCATCCAGTGGCCTTCTCAGTTAATCACAAATTGAAATTTCTAGTGCTGAAGTATGGGAAAATTGAGGGTCTTCACTTCTCCCAGCTCATTTGTGAGTCTGAGTGAAAGCTGTTGGTCTAAATCAGGTATGTTGGAGACCTGGATGCCACTGTCTGCTGAGACGTCACACTGAGGCGAGGCATGTGTAGTGCATTTCACACTGGGAGTTCCCAAGCTCAGGAAGTTCCTGGCAGTGTTAGATTTCACAGGAGAACTAATCTGTCAGGCAACCTGTTTCCTTCTAGGTGCGAGAATAGGTTTTTCAGATACATTTGTGTTGTTACTGGCTGCTGTGTTTGCGCTGCTGGGATTAATGTTGAACCAGCACTTACTGTACATAATGGTTATCCAAACAAGGAGCGTGTGATCAGTAAGAGAGTAAGGGGGGGAGCAGTCTCCTCAGAAAGCCCAGGACTTTGTTGTGGTGTTTGCTGTGTGTGTGTTACAGTTGTTCCTCCTTTTTCACTCCTACCCATTTAGAGTGGAAACTTTCGCACAAAAGCCTGCCAGCTCTTCTGTGGATGTGTGGTAGTAGCATGGTGTCCTTGTCTTTCTGAAAGTTCAGAAAACATGACAGAAAAATTGATGTAGTTACAGAAAAAAATACTACTTGTTCTGCCTTCTTCCTTCCCGGGTGGCCACTGCTTAAGATTTCTTTTCCTACCTGAATACCTGGCATAATAACTTTTATGGTTTACCACTTTATTTTACTTCTATTTTTTTTACCGAATATTTTATAAACTCACAAATCAAGTGCCTGATTTTCTTGCTGAGCAGTCCCGGATATTACTTTATTTTGTTTGTTTCTTGTTACACATTTTAATTTGGATCTCACAGATATGCCAGCATTTTCCCTCTCACTGTGCTCTAATGAGTCATTTTTGCCATCCAGCCTCTTAATAAAAACGTATCTGATCTGAAGAATACAACAGCTGAGCGTACTCTTGGCTCTGTGTTGGTACCAGCATCTTAATACTGAGGAGTTTAGAGACATTACTGTGAAACAGATAACAATAATAATAAGCAGCACTTAAAATACAATTAATCACACAGCCTTTTGTAAGGAAATTTGTTTTAGAGGATATGCAGATTGATCTCTTTTTCTTACTCTGTTCTGCAGAACAGGAAGCTTTCAACAGCACTTCCATATTCAACAACAGTTTGGAATGGGGGAATTAAAATTACTTGGGAGATAAACTGGTCTAGTGAGTGAGGCATCTATATGTTGAATATGTGGAGAGGGAGGTATTGTTAGAAAATGGTTTTATGATATACTTAATAATAAAAAATGAAACGGAAAAAGAAAATAAAGTGCTGCAAAATACATAAACAGTTACACTTTAGTTCTAAATAACTGCCTACATACAGGAATTTTAGAGACTACTGATATATTAATTTATTTCAGTGACAGCTTCATGTCCATGTGCTACAAGGGGGCTGCTGTGAAGTGGTAATGGGGTTTACATATGGAGGAAGAGTGCCCTGAGCTGTGCCTGCTTTTACAGCGAGGCATTACACCAACTATTGTGTGAATGTTTCTGAAGTATCTACCAAGGCTGTCCTATAAATCCCTTTCATTTTCTCAGCAGCTATTAAGGGCTTTTCAGCTTAGAATCTTTATGAACTGGGATTTGTATGACCTTGGCCATGTAGTGAATGTAGTAAGAATATGGTAGGGACGAGGGAATGACTATTTGAAGGCTGGTGAAGGAACGAGGAGGAGCGAAATACATTCACTGTCGATGCCAGTTGTGACCAGCTGCAGCTGTGTTCTTAGCTCTGGGTGGATACTTTATTTTGCTGTCATGAGAAGGCAACTGCTCTGTGTCTGCAGTGAGAGAACTGCCTAAAAAAGGAACAGACAAGCTGATCTTCCTGGTTTGCTTTTTCTCTGAGGCATAAGCCAACTTTTACAAGTGTGTAAATTAATGCAGCTGTCTTGAGAGATAGATCTGCGGTTGCTCCAACTGTACTCCCTACATGCGCAGTTCTGTGGGCTTCATTCTTTTAATCTAGTGTTTGTTTTGAAAAGTTTTTTACTGTAGCTGTGTAATTTTATTTATTATGAACCAAGGAAAAATGTTGGCACCTTTTAAAAAGCAACCCAAACAACTATTGAACCAAAATATTCATTCAGCTACAAGAAAAGCTCTTTTCCAGGCTAACACAGAAGCTTTCCTACAGTGCTTTAATGCAGGTTGTTGCATTCAGAAGAGCACTTTTTTCTAAGTTTGCTGGCTTATTGGTAGCCTCTTTTTCTTATAGACAGCTGTTTTAAATCTGCTTGACTTTTTTATTTGCAGTTTAATGAGACTTGTAATCCATGAGATCCAATGGTCTGCAAATCTTCAAGTTGTTTTGAGAGTGGCTTATTCTTTAGAAGACAGACCATTGTGTGTCGCGAGATCCAGATGCTGGCACCTGGTTCAAGGAGAGTGTAGAATGGGTGACAGAAGTAGTGGAATTGGGGCATTGTTTATTGCTCTTCATTTTTGGTGGTGAAATAATGTCATAAACACACTTGAATGAAAGACCTCGACCAGGAATACAGGAATTTATGATATTCTTAATAATACATGGTACAAGTTTAAGGTATTATAACTAGGAGGAATGTCTAGAGCAGAGCAAAATGTCTTTTCTCATTGTCTCTTTTGCCTCGATTAGTCACCCGGTATGAAAGATTCTAATCTTTAGTACAGTATATACTGAGATCCTTGTGTAAGAAACAATGCTGTTATATAGGTATGCTTTTATATATAGGAACTGTGAGTGGTCTGATGGAGTTAATGAGCTTGTTCCTTTGCTGACAGGAAACTGTGATGTAGTTTCAATGTCCTCTTCAAGATCTGTAAAGTCATTAGAATTAAAATTGTTCCGTGTTAAAGTGCAAGCCTAGCAAAATACTTTGTTTTCATTAGTCATGGTAGTTTACGTAATGCTGTCTGTGTATTTAAGGACTTCACAGTCGTTAGCTCAGAACATGCTTCTCCAGTTAGCCTTGTATTTTAATTCTAGGATCTGACACAGTTAAGAAAATTTACTACCTAACTTCTGCCTACCTTGTCTTATTTTTCCTGTTTGGAAAAAAAGAAAAAAACCCCCAACAACAACAACAACAACAAAAAAAAAACAGAGAAAAAGGAAGAAGTTAATTTTTGCTGCAAACATATTAAGATTTGCATGAGAAACAGTAACTGTTTTCATTCTGTGTTCATGTTTTTGCTCACAGAGGAGGAATTACTCAGTAATTTGTCCATATTCAATGAAACGTGTGTGAAGTGGCAAAGGAAAACTGGAAGACTGGGAGTGCAGGAGACATACACAGTAAGTGGGGCTGTATTTGAGACTGGGAGTAGCTTTGTCCTGGTTAATTCTGCTTAGTCAGGAGCAGAGACTTGTTTTGTGCGGTTTGTTTGTACCATAATTTGTCTCAGTCTTCACAGTGAGCTGCCTAGAAACATAAAGGTGGCTGGGAAAGAAACAAATCCTTGTCCTAAAGTTAGGTAAAAAACTCAAAAGCTGTTGAGGTCTCATTCCAGTAAATCACCTGCAACACCTGCGTGAAACTATAAGAAGCGTTTCAGGACAAGTTTATGTTTTAGTGAAATTCTGTTGCAGAGCTCAAGGTCACAGTGACATAGAAAACATTGCAAAACTTTGGCTCTGCCCCTGTCTGTGATGCAAGCATTTCAGGTAAACAGCGTAGCATTTGCAGATACTGGATGTAACTTGTTTTAGAAATGCAGTGTATAGAATCATAGAGTCATAGAATAGATTGGG